CCGAGGCGTGGGGGAGCTGCCGCCGCCGCGGAGCCCCAGGGCAGGGCGAGCGACTCTGCCGCTCCCTCTGAGTCGCCCCGCGAACGCTCAGTTCGCAGATCTCGCCGATATGTCGCTCTCTGGAGACATCACCGTGGAGGGGGAGATCACGGTACCCGTGGGAGCCCCCTCTCCCGACGAGGACTTCTCCACCCTGGACGAGCCCGTGCGGGAGACGATCGTGAGTCGATAACGCGGTAACGCGTCCGTCTTACCGAAATGCGCGCACACAAACCGCCCGTGCGAGCATCAACGCTCAAGTTTCCGTGTGCAAGTGCAGGGGAGCAAGTGGTGCCTGGGAGAAAGGTGCTCTGTTGGGATTTCTGGAACGATCCTCTTTTCCCGGAGGAGCAACCAAGTTATTCTTCTCAATCGGGTGTTATTAAAGGGCAGGACATTGTTATTGTTAAGGAGGGTAGAACACGTAGATATTGTTTTGGTGCAGGGGATGCTACAGAAAACTCTAAGGTTAGATCTGGTCTTGATTTAAAGTTGATGCTGTTTTACTTTTTTTCTGCTTTGCTGCAGGTGTGGTCTGTAATCTCGATTAAGTGCTCTATTAAAGCTGTCTCTCCTCTGTTTCAGATGAGAGATTTAAAGGCCGTTGGGAAGAAATTTGTGCATGTCATGTATCCCAAGAAGAGCAGCACCCTCCTTAGAGACTGTACGTATCAGAAGACTTTCAAGCTCCTGGAGGAGTGAATTGTCTATGGATTTTGCTTGTTCTGAAAATGAAAAATTCACTAGAATGTCCATTTTTTTTGTTCTCTCTGTTGCTTTGGTTAAGTTATGCATATTTATTGTATACTGTGCTGTAATGTGCTGTAAGATGCTAGGTAAGAAAAATATAAGGAAGTTTAGTATGGAAAGTGCTGTGTCGGGAGTTGGGAAAGGGGGCTTTGGCTCTGAACGTTGTTCTAAGATGTTTTTTTTTCTTCCCATTACCTGCAGGGGATCTTTGGGGCCCCCTGGTGCTTTGTGTTTCGCTTGCACTGTAAGTACCTGCAGTGAGTGAGTTTGGAGTTTGTTTGTTTGTTAAATCATTTACATTAGAGAAATGAGAAATTAAAGACGTCTGATTGTATGTGGGTTTTTTTGTGTGTGTGTGTGTGCATGTTGGCTCTTGCACAAACAGTTTTTTCCTGGCTTTCTTGCAAATTGCATTTCTGACAGTGGAATCCCATTAAGAAGTTCCTTCTGTAGGGACGTCAGGGTGAGCTCCTGCTGATGCCCTCTCTTAGGAAGACATTATTGGGAGTTACCCCGCTGCGTTGTTGCTATTTCTAACACTTTTGGCCAACTTCCTTGCGCCTGGGCTGCTGCCAGCACTTGTGTTTAACCCAAGTGCCCGGGAGCTGCCGCGTGTGTGCCGGGTACCCCAGAGCCGCTGGCCAAGGGAGGCCACTGGGGCTGGGAAGGCAGGGGAGCCACAGCCACCACAGGGTCCCAGCAGCACCGAGCAGAGCGGCGGAGTGGCCGTGGCGCCGCTTCAGCACGCGCGGGGCATTGCTGAAGGCTGTTCCTTGTTGCATCTGGCCGAGCGCTTTGTGCTTCACCTGCAAAATTCGGGAAAAGAGTCGCAAAACCAAAACGTCTGATGGTTTTGCAATAATAAAATAGTCAAACTTGAGTTAATTCAGGTATCTGCTTACTTAGCTCTTGCATCATCTAGAACAAAGAGGTGTAGGGTATGTTCAGCACTTAAAACATAAGAGTAAATATTTACTTTGCCTTAGGAATATATGCATTTTTAAGGTGCCTGCTGCTTTCTTCCTTCTTTCACTGCATGGGGGTTTACTAAGCTTTCCTTAAGGTTTACCTGTCTTATCATGCAGTGCACTGGCTGCTTTGAGAGTTTATTGGATTCTTTCTGCTTAGTTTTCATTGCCTAGCCTGTTGTCTGTGATTTTATTATCCTTTATATTCCTGTCTAGTCCACAAAAACAAGTGAACTGAAGTGCCCTCAACTGAGTGCCCTCAACTTTTCTATGCAGAATAGAGGATGGTACAAAAAATTCAGAAACAGATGAAAAATGACTGTTCTGCAGCTTACCTAGGAATCACCTTGTGACTCCCATTCCGTCATCTATTCTTAGTCTGCAAAAAGCCAGTGATCAACTGTCGCTGACTTCTTGTTTCTGCTGCCTTTAATAGGATGCTTCAGGGTGGATCAGCAGATAGCAAAGAAGATGGAGGGCCCCAGTTTGCTGAGGTCTTTGTCATCATCTGGTTTGGTGCAGTTGTCATTACACTCAACTCCAAGCTGCTTGGAGGCACTATGTGAGTGCTGGTTCCTATAGTGGTTAAAATGCTCCAGTTTATGGAACTTTTATGGTGCTTTGGTCTGACTCTTTTTCCCTGTTTCTGTCACTGCTTTCTAGATCTTTCTTTCAGAGCCTGTGTGTCCTGGGTTACTGTGTCCTGCCCCTGACGGTGGCAATGCTGGTCTGCAGGCTGGTGCTGCTGGCCGGCGCCGGCACCATCAGCTTCGTCGTGCGTCTCCTTGTGGTGCTGGCCATGTTTGCCTGGTCCACGCTGGGTGAGTGCCCGCCGGGAGCCCGGAGCAGCACGATGGCGAGGGACCTGGCCGCCCGCGCCCCGGTGTCCCCAGGGCGTCCTCGTGTGGCGAGGGGCCCGGCCGCCCGTGCCCCGGTGTCCCCAGGGTGCCCTCGCTGAAAGTTTCTTCCCTAGACGAGGTTCTGTAGAAGTAGTGCAGCCGATCCTTGCTTTGCCAGAGATCCTGCTGGTTCTCTTTGGGGAGAAATGTGCAAATTGCACTTGGAGGAAAGACAGTAATTTAGTCTTAACCGCCCTGTGAGCCAATGGTGATCATATTCCACAATCTGTAAGTGCCATTAGAAAGCCTTTATTTCCTAGGTACACTTGCCTGATTTCTTGTTATTCCTCATCGTATTTCCTGATCAGTGTCTATAAGTACCTCAAGGGAGGCAGTGAGGAGGATGGTGCTGGTCTCTTTTCAGTAGCGGCCGCTGACAGAACTAGAGGAAACAGCCGGAAACTGAAGCATCAAAAGTTCCACAGGAACTTATGGAAAAATTTCTTAACAGTGAGGGTGACAGAGCACTGGAGCAGGCTGCCCAGAGAGGTTGTGGAGTCTCCTTCTCTGGAGATCTTCAAAACCCGCTTGGACGCAGTCCTGTGCCACGTGCTCTAGGTGACCCTGCGTGTGCAGGGGTTGGACTAGATGATCCCTAGAGGTCCTCTCCAACCGTAAGCATTCTGTCATTCTGTGATCTGTAAGTCTGAATCTTGTTAGGGTCAACCAACATTTATCTTTCTGTTGTAACAAAGGAAGTTCTACCTGGTGATTAGAGACCACTGGAACTGAGCAATGGAATATTAAATTTTACTCTGTCTTTAAACTTAACATTATAATGCAGATCCTATTTTAACATCTGAGGTGAATTGTGTATTTCTCATTTTATGCAGTTTGCATTTCAAGTATCTTTCTTTTCCTCTGTCCCCAGCATCTACGGCGTTCCTGGCAGACAGTCAGCCTCCAAACCGCAAAGCTCTTGTCGTTTACCCCATCTTCCTCTTCTACTTTGTGATCAGCTGGATGATTCTCACCTTTACGCCTCAGTGACACGAGCTCCAAAGAGACTCTGATACAGACTGAAGGGTTTCCTGAATGTTGCAGTTAATCGAGGCTTTATCTCTAATTTATATATATGTATAGATAGATACTGTAAAAAGACAGGTTATGGGATAAAGCCTGAGAACTGCAAAACTGGTCATTTGTTTGTCTCTCTTCTTGAAAGATACAGAAATCCATCCACTGAGATTTTTTTAGCCCCATTCTTTTGTTAAGTTTTAAATTAAAAAAAAATTATCGCAGGGACTATTCTGCCTGAAGAATAGCAGGGAGAGACCTTGGGACTTTTTGGAGTTTGATAGATGAAGTTATAGGATCACATGACTTAGCAGGATTCATGCTTGTGCTTGGATTCTCACCGAAGATGAATATGCCTTATGAAATAATAGAACTTAATTGTCGTTATGTGTTGGTAGGTAAAATATGTGTTTGACTCCTTTTGTTTTCTTCATTTGTGTACAGGATGGTGGGACGTATATTAAGCGCATCACAGAACCATAAATGTTCGCTCCGAGATCAGATTTTAGTCAAAAAAACATTGAGTCCATTTTGTGCTTACCTGGAGCTGGGCAGGAGCTGCCGTGGCTCGTTTTCAGGTGTTGTGTGTTTGTGTTTCAGCCACTTCATGTGTCAAGGAGAAGTGTTCTACCCAAATGCCTTGCACGCGGTGGTTGCGCTGCCTGATCCGTGGACCTTGTGAGAGGGAGGGTGTTGACACTGCCTAGTGACACGTTTTTTCCTGTGATCCTAGACTAGGGAGGCAAAGTCCTGGAGGAACCAGACTATTTTGCAGCAGGACATAGGTGTCACTGTGCATATTTACACCAGAAAGTTGAGCATCTGGAGAGTGTGAACTAGTGTATAAACAAAATGTTTTTTTTGTGAAGTGGCTTTAGGTTCCACCGCATGAGATCTTTGGACGCCAACACACCAAACAAGGACTTAAGCCCAGACATTTTTAAAACAGGGCTTGAAGACAGGAAATAAATTAGTTTGAAGGTAGTGGCTGCTATGAAGTAGCCTATAAATTCTGGTCTTAACTACTCACATGCAACTTCCATGTGGTTGTTTACATGGACAGTGTTTCAGCATAAATCATTTAGTTTTGCAGATTGTTTTTTCTTCCCTCTAAAGGGAAATAAGTAACTTTTCTATGAAGTTTTTGTCTAATACTTTTTATAAAAGGAGAGGGGACTTTGTTCTGTGATACTGCAGGTGCTGGAGAACTGTGTACATGTGTGCAGACTGCTTAAACCTAGAAGCTGAGACCTGGAGAACTGCTCTGTAAGGGCTGCACAGAAATGATTTGTCACCTGTTATTTTGAGTAAGCAATACAAGAAAAGAGCTTTGGAACACCTGTGGGTGAAAAAGCTGCTGGTAAAATGTCACCTTTTTCTGAAAGCCAGTGTCATATTCCCCTTCTCTTGTAGTCATGCAAATAGGCCTGACATTGATTAAGCGGGTCTTATTAAGATGTAAATACCCCTAATTATATTTAAATACAAAAGTGGAATTTCTGCTGTAAACCCTACAGACACTTCAGTGCATATGGAAATTTCTAGATGTGTAACTTTAAAAGTACATTTCATGTTTCTGTGTGTGAGGAGAAGGAAAGAAAAAACATTGTTACACTGTGCAGGGACCATTGCTTGATGTGCAGCAGTTGTTGTAAGCGAGTGTGGAAGTGCAAAGCTGGTTTTGCTTTCTTACACCTTGATGTGTATCTGTTGTAGCCTTTCATATGCATAAATATAAAAGGGACAGAGGGATTTTCTGAAATTGCATAAATTATCTCTGTTGCAGGATGTGAATTTTCAAGTTGCAGTTGTCCATCTAAACATTTGCTCATCTTTATGAAGCTAAAAATAAATAGTCAAGGGAAGAGGAGGTAGCAAAGCTACGTGCTGATACAGCTGGTCTTTGAGCCAACTCCTTGTTTCCCACCACAGTGCAGAATTGAGCTGTACTTCTGAAGGCACAAGTGACCCTGTGTCTGCAGGGTAACGTCCTTCTGAAAAGGAAGAGTAGGATTTCGATAGAGGAATTAACAAAAATGGTCAGAGCTTTTCCCTTGGTTGTCTTTCACTTATAGCTGAGCCTCCTGGTGGCTCTTCCTGTAATGCGCTGCTCTTGGCTTATGCTGCAGGAGGGAATTATTTTTACATTTACTAGATTTACTTTTAAACAGGCTGAGGTTTTCAGTTGAGAGGTGTTTTTAATTTAAAAGATAAGATACAAATACACCAATTGGATGGCAAAGGTTTGATTTTGGCTCAGGGTAATCTTTTAGTTTCAAAAACAACACTTTCTAAAGCAGTTAAGTCTTTGAGTAGATTTATATAGCTAGGAAATACACCAGTTGGATGGCAAAGGTTTGATTTTTGGCTCAGGGTAATCCTTTAGTTTCAAAAACACCACTTTCTAAAGCAGTAAAGTCTTTGAGTAGATTTATATAGCTAGAGACATAAAGTTTTAGGTGGCAGGATGCAAAGAGGAACTCAACTTTTCTGAGAATTCATACCTGCAGAGGAATAAAGTTGTGCTTTATGTGCAGTTTTTTGTGTGTTTGTTTTACTTCGTTGTTGTCTCTTGAAGACCGAGTCAAGGACGTTTATTTTCCTGTCTGGGCTCTGCAGTTGCTGCAGGTCGTTGTCCCTGCGTTGTGTGACTTAACGCCAGTGAGGTGAGAAGTGTGCAGTGTTTCTTAGGGAAAATTATCTCCCCACTCCAATAAGGTAACCGGTTCTGGTAAAGCTTCACTGAAACTGGCTTGGCCTTTGCACGGGAGGAAGAAGGCCATCTTTTATTTAATATATTAGCCCTTCTTGTAGATGAAGTGCTACTGCTTAAAAAGACTGAGAGAGCAAAATTGATTGATTGAGGATTGACTTAAGCCAAAACTGGCCCTTGTTCCTCAGCCAGACTTAGTGCTGTGGAGCCCCTGCTTCAAGCGAATCCCCTTGGCAGAGAGCTTCCCAAAGCAAGCTGGACACGGGCATGTTGAAGAACAGCTAAAAACCCTCTGGTTCAGGTGAGTCAAGAACCTCAAGCCTGTTGGATATTCAGACTGCCTAGAATTCATTTTGTGATATTCCCTTAGTCGTGGTATTGTGTGAAAGAGCAGGGAATGCTTGTTCCTGAACGGTGCTTCATCTTGTTCAACCAGTTGTATACCGTAAACCACATCCATTGTATTTTTTTATTATTTTTTCCACATATTTCTCCCCAAATGCATCCTTATAACCACCACCATTTTAAATTTATATTAGGAAATGGATGTGAATTTGGTTATTGTGCTTCCTGAGGCAAACCGCTTTGACTTGAAGCTGCCTGAGGAAGGAGCGGTGAGGGGAAAAGCAGGTTTCTTCCTGAATGAAGTGTTTTAACTTGCCAGCAGGGTTTGAAGATGGTCATTCACACAAACCAGACTTCCTTTCCCACTAAGGTTTTGATGCTGTTTATCACTGGCAGTTGCTGTACGTGCTTGAATTCCCTTTTGATCTGTTGAAAACCAATGAGAATGCAAATGCCTTGTTTTAACTTTAATGCTGCTAAATTAAAATGCCCTGGAAAGGGTGCAGGCAGCCTCCCGTGTGGATGGAGGAGATGTGGGCGCCTGGCAGCCGGAGGAACTTCAGCCTTGAGGGCAGGGGCAGTGCGGGGACCCGTGGGGCTGGAGGGCGGCAGCTCCCTCCGAGCTGCTCCACGGGGACTTGGCGCACGGATAAGGTCTGAGCAGATCCTTCACGGGAAGGCGGATTAATAAATATGTGTCAATTAGGACATTGCTGACTAGGGTGGTCTCAGCGGCGGCAGCCCCGGGTACATCTGCCCCGCGGGGCTGCATCGCACTGCAGGGACCGGCGGGCGCCTCGGGAGAGCCCTCCCGCTCGTGCGTGAAGCCACGGCAAACAGCCCGCGGGCACGGCGGGATGGCGCTTGGAAGCAGAAGGTACCCAACTAACCACGGCTTTAACTGCCGCGAGGCTCCCGGACGCAGCCAAAGGAACCTGCGAACGGTCACGAGAGGGCAGCAAGGCCTCGCAGGCCTCGGAAACGCGCGCGGGGCTGGGGACAACGAGGGCTCTGGCCCCCTGTCCTTGCTCTGTTTCCATAGGAAGAGATTTAAGAGGCGATGAGCTGCTTTCTAGATTTTGTCTTGCTAGTGAGAAAAAATTGCTTGTAATTAGGGAAATTAATTCTGAAGTTCTAAGTTGAGGCACAACCAATTTCTGAAATGCTCAAAATTTTGAGTCTGACATTTTATGCAGTAGAGTTTATATGTAGTTTGCCTTTTCTGTGATATTTATTATATTTTTAGCAAGAAGATTGCTTTTTATTTAACAAGTGGCATTTTTTTTTAAAGGACACTTTACTACGGCAATGGGGAAATCATTAAATTTTACCAATTTCCCCAGGGTGATAACTATGTATGCATTCAAGTAACTTCAGTTAAATTGGGTATAGGAAATCATTAAGAGTTTTGCATTAGTCAATTAATATGTTTGTGCTCTAAATTATATTGGCCAGATACATTTCTGCAATTCTTGAAACAATTGCTCGGTGCAATTGATTTTACTCTTGCCCAAGTTATTGTTACGTGACAAACTGAGCCTAATTTCAAGATACTCAGAGCAGGAGTTGCTAGATACTTGTAGGTCCCCAGCGCTTTAATGCTGGTTTGTGTAAACGCCCAGTATATCCTGTCTCAGGAGCAATGGCGGAGTTATCGAAGCAACTTGTCTTTCACATAAAAGAGGTGTTACCGAGGGTATCTGAAGTGTCAAAAAGCTTGACCTTTGTGCAGAAGTAGTGCTTGCAATCGATGTTGCTTTGCCTTTGGAAGCAGAAACTTGTGTATTAAAGACCCATTCTGAGGAGACCTTCCTGATGCAGAGGATGCTCTGATATAACAGGGCAGGTGTTTATCTCCTATTCCAGAGCTGATAGTTTGCCTCTAGGTCACTGTTTCAAATTCAGCTTTAGTCTAAAGAGGTTAAAAGCTGTTCGTGTTGGTCTTATGCAGATTGAGCTTCAACTTTGTGGAGACCAAAGCACTGACGCGAGTTGGTGACTGTTAACCCTGAGCGTCCTTCAGCACATGACGATGCCCGTGGGTTGGGAGTTGGCAAGTTCATGAGTGAGCCAGAGCGGTTGTGCTGGGAGGGCTGATATGGGGCTGACATCAGCACCAAGCCCCGCTTAGGGGGGGTGTGCTGAGCAT